CTCAGACAACTGTGCTGCCTGACCCTCCACTAACACACATCATACATCTCTATGAACAATCAAAAGGGTCAAGCTGTGGCCTGTTTAAAAGTGTTTTGATTCTGCCTGGCCTTGAGACACCGGTATAGCAGATCACTTTTTTTAACGTATCATTACTGAAGAAGAAAACAAATTTTTTTTCAATAGGATGTCATTTCGGCACATTTGCTGACAAAGAGTCAGTTAATCCAGCAGCAGGGTGGGATGCCCCCAACCCAGTGGCACATTAATGTCAGCAGAAAGATGCCAATATCCACAGTATCATCCCATCCATACATCACGGTGGATGGTATCAGGGCTTCCTGGAGAGTCAGGGCTTGGGAGGGTAATCTTTGGGCTTTTTACCAGACAAAACCCCTCATCAGCACCAGGGAAAAAAACATCATCTCAGCATTAGAGTCCTTCTATTCAGAGGAATGTACAAGCCTTCCTGAGGCACCAGTGGAATTTGAGGTCCTAAAAAGAAAACTAGAGGGCGTCAGGAACGAAACCTCTCAAAGTCAGCCTTTGTTGTACCTTTGAAATAGTAGTGAATATGTAGGTATTAAAAGAATTTTGCCTTATATATTGTGCAGAAATAGATTTCTTCGAGTATTAGTGGGAGAGAAGGGTCACCACAACAAACTGATCTGGCAAAAAATGCCATCCATTCCTATGATGTGTATAAAACATTTTGCCAGATTTTAAGTGGATAAAAAGCTGCTCGTGTATCTAAAACAAAACTGCAGCATTTTTTTTCCTGCATGCATGTGCACACACACACATTCCAGAGAGCATTTAGAGATGTAATCTTCCTCCTTTCTCTCTCATCTTATGGCAGACCAAGCACAGGCTAGCTTTGTTTCTTTTGGTGGTATAACAGTGTATCAGAAGTTTTTTCTCCTTTTGTTGCTGGTATCAACACACAGTCCAGAGCCAAGCAACAAATTCGCCTTCTGCTGATAAAAAAGAAGAATAGCAAAACGTACAATAAAAAAAAATAAACAAAACAAAACTACCCCCCCCTTTTTTAAAAAAAAAAAAAAAAAAAAAGAAAAAGGAAAACAAAAAACCACCACCCACCACAGCCCTGGTAACCAGGGATTTTACAGAGCAAAGCACTAAAGGAAATGGAAGAAAAACATATATGAAGGAAGAAAAGCGACAATAAAGCGTTCTCACAAAGATTATCAGTCAATGATAAGAAGACAGACAGAACTGGTTGATTCAGTGGCACTTAGGTTATCGTTCCTGAGAATCTGAACAAACCTGCTCTCTTCCAGATTTGTAAACTCCCTGACAAATGGTGTAGGACAGTATTTACAGTAGCTGATATTAATCACGTCTGCCAAACCTTTTTTGCAAAGATGCAGAATATCTTTCTCATCTCACTTTGGACTGTGACTGATCCAAGTCAGAGTTGCATTTAAAACACTCTCAGTGTGACTCACTTATGGATTATAATGGACTTTTAGGTTGCCAGAAATGATTTTGAGCATACAAGGAAAACATATCTGTAACTCCCCACAATAAATAACTTAAAGCTTATTGACTCAATGCCAAAATAATCAAATAACGCTTCTTCAATCTGCTTCATTTAAAGTGAATTTCAGACAATAAAACCTTGGGTTTCTTTTTAATTTACATTTAATATCAGGCTGCTTGTAAAAGCTAATATGGGGATGCTTCAGTTATTCAACAATGACTTATCAGAAAATTAAGAATTATGACTGCCTTTAACATAAAGGCAAACAAAACTGGATCCATGGGCACTATAGCGCTTTGCTTATGGTTCGGAATCACTGAAAGTTAAATCACTTGGAAGCATTCAATCTTTCTGGGGCAGGAGAAATATACAGGGAAGCACAGCAGTTGGAAGGTAAAAATGAAACAGTTAAGTATGATAAAGGAAGAGACAGGAGTGCCAAAATCAGCAGGGCTTAGAAGAACCACCTGCTTCATTTAAGAATAGGTAGGAAGCATAAATACCGCATTATCTCAGAAAGTATGGGTCAGACTCTTCTAAGAACAAAACAGCATTTGAGACTGTGAAAGTGGACCTGAAAGCCCAATAATCTCTGGAAAAACTGGAGCTTCTAGTCTGGGCTGAGATTTCCCATGGTACCATGCCAAGGCAGCAGCCCATACACAACCAGAGACAAACCCCCACCCTCACAGATCAGACGATGGCTTTCAGACTGGGCCCACCTCTCTTCTCCCACATCCTGCTCCATCCATCTCTCCCTCTGTACTCGTGGGGGGACAACAGAACAAGTTGCATCCATGCAGGAGGAGGGAAACAACCACAAGAAGGTTGTTGGGGAAAGGGAACAGACATGTCTGCAAAGTACAGAAGCAGAAGAGGGCATAAGTGTAATCTAATTTAACATATAAGGAGAACATGTATTTCTCCATTTAATGAACCTGATCTTTCCTGCTGGAGTAGGTTTTCTCTAGCTAGAACAAGGATGTCAAAACGTTCTTCTGAGACCTGCAAGAGGGCTAAGCAGGACACCAGTGGCATGTGCAGTTATGCACCATTTTTTTAAATGCAACCTATATGAAGTGTTTTGCGGCACTTCTGTTCTATACTGCATCAGGTGTGGTTTCTTTATCAGTTTTGTATTTTTTAGGATTGGGAAGACATTCTCCTGGGGCAAAAACTATTTACACTGAGCATTTCTCTTTCTCCTTTTAAACCCTTTGTCTGATGTCCAGCTGATTGTGTCCTGCTCCCAGCAGTGACCATATCTCATCTGGCACATCATGATGGAAAATTGGATGAGTCTTGCAAGTGTTCTTGAGGATGTTTTTATTACATCTAAAAATATAGCTATCAATTATTAACCCACAAGGTAAGTAAGAACACTACGTACTGGGCACATTTTAGGCTCCTGCGTGAAAGGGGTTAAGCTCCTCTGTCACATGCAAAGGTCAGGTCAGCTTTCAACAAGATACAATCAATGTACCTTCTGGGTTAAACTCTTGAGTACCCAAGGACTGTGCTACAGTCAGGAAAACTGATGGTTCTAATGCACAGGTTGATGCAGGGAGAGTTCATTTTTCAAGAGTACCTCTATATTAAATGTCTAATTTACATTTTTCCATGTAAACAGATATTCATAGATGCCAGATACTTGCAGGCAGTAAATAAGCAAAAGTACATGCAGTGCCATGAGCTTTATTGAAAATTCTTAAATACATTAACCACATACTGCTATGAAATGTTTAACATCCATTCTAATGATGTTTTAATCCCATGAATGATTACACTAATTCTTGTGTGACATTACTGTTCAAAGCAGGGGCCTTCAATTAATTATTGTAAAAGGTCACTTTCAAGGAAGGTGCACGCTGTTAACAGGCAGCACAAAAAGGGCAGCTGCAGTGCTGCTCCTCACTGTGTCTGCCTGTGAGAGCCCATTTGGTTCTCCAGGGGAGAAACGGGCTACAGGTAGATGTAAAAGCACCCTGCTGTGGGAACAGGTGCAGCTATTTTTTCTACACAGAAGCATTCCTTCTAATTTACCCATACATCGCAATAATTAGAAGAGCCAATGAAACCAGCCTCTCCCAAACAGAAGCAAAGTCCAGGGCACAGAGCCAGGAAAGCAATTTCAGCAAATATGTTAATTTCTTCGACATTTCACATCAGGTAGCTTTTCTTTGACCTTTTGGCATCAGGAGTTCTGCTCACTATGCTAATATGATTTAATAAAATATCTGTTTCTCCCAAAATGCTTCTTATTTGTAGGCTTAACAAATCAATTGTAACCTTTTGACTATGTAAAAAGCGAAACAAAACACAAAGAAACCCACCCAAAACAGATCACCAACAAAAAAAACAAAAACAAACAAAAAAAGTGCTTTATTCTTTACATACACTTTTTTTTTTCAGAAAGGGAGGACACATTCAGTGTTACCTGGAGTGAAAGCATTGATGAAATACTCTCATATGGAGCTTTGTACATTTTCCAGCTACACAGCACATTTGGATTTTCTAAGCAATTGGTTAATATCCACATTTTGTTGAAGATTCTTTTCAGACAACATTACAATACTATACAGAGTAATTAATTCTACTCAAAAAAGTAAACAGTAATTAGCATTTCCTAATGTTATCAGTTTTGAGGAGATCCTATAATCAGCCTAATGGATAAACAGCCTGCAACGTGTAATATCCAAGTCTTACAGGATTTGAAGTAGAGGATAAAAGATTTGTCTAAATTATGAGACTTGAATTTTATTAATGTTGTTGCCAAAAGTAGATAAGACATTCACAAGAGACATCACTGAGCTTTCATCTATTGTACGTTAAAAGCAGTGTTTCAGAAATCTAATTTTGCAGACCATCAGATACAGTATTTCCTAGGTTATTTTTCCATCCACGTTTTCAGAAGCATAAAAAAATGCAAGACGAGATAAGCAGAAATTAGTAAAAGCATTTTTTCCATCCATCAACACAGCATTGAAAAGTAATATTAAAGAAATTAGACATCAAGTACACAAACCTCTGGTGCATGTTAAAAGGCTACCACCAGTACTTGTCTCCATCTACTTTCTGCCTCTTCAAATTTCATTAAACAGTAATAAAAATAATATTTAACACAGGATGTTTAAAGATAACACGTTTAAAGAGCCTGACTTAGTCACATGAAAAAAACTCAGCATTTTCTTACAGGCATCAATATTACAAGGGTCTAACAATCCAGGTGACTTTGAACACATTTGCTGTTCCTTTTGCACATAAGGACTCCAGCAGGTTAGACTCAATTTTGCTTCCTTGCATCAGAAGCTTTAGACCAGCATTTTGAGGAACACAGCTTTTCATAACTGACAAAAGTTGCTGGTTGCACAGAGATTTAAGTATTTCTAGCAAGAAAATATTGTTCTGATGTACCATCACTTGATAACTAAGCACAGAAGGAAATTAAGTACACTGTAAGAGGAAAAAATATTGAGAAGAAAAAAGTCTAACTTACAACACTGGGAGGCAGCACTGGGCAATGGTTTCTTCTGGACTTCCTCCTGAAAGGAGTACTAAGGGAGGAAAAAAAATAGGGAAAAACACAGATGGATAAAAAAGCAAATGGTAATTTTATGAAACAGCTTTCAGAATACAGCATGCCACACATAAGAGAAAATATCCCTGGTAGTATCAAAGCATAATATCTATAAGGATAATATCTATAATATATTCTCCATAATATAAACACAGTCCCAGAAGTGTCCTTCTTTTCCATGCTAAAATCACATGTTCCGAAGTGCACATCTTGTTAGGGTGAAATCTGCTTTACTACAAGCACAGGCCCCTACTATCAATTGTGAGGCCTCAAATTAGACACCCAAAAGACCTGATTCTCCACACCATGATGTCGGTGTGACAGGGAGCTCAGAACTGAGTATAAGCCTGTTTACATTTAGACACTCCAGCAGAGCTTAAACAGCTCAAAATTCAAGTGGGCTCACAGCAACTCTGCAGCAGGAGATGGAAGCAGTTAGATAATTAGTGTGTCTGGCAGGGTAGGAACACAATGTTTGCCCAGCCAACACTTGCAAACTCTCCTGTGATCCACTTTACATCCAAAGTAAAGAATTTTTCCTCTCATTTAATACTAAATTAGAGAACACAGAGGTATTTCAATTAGCCAGCTTTGACTTTTTACAAAGCTGTTTGTTACAGCATCAAAGCATTCCCAAGGGGAATGCCAGTGATTTTATTTTGTTATTCCATCTTGTATTACATAGAGATACGAGAAAATTAGGACAATTGACCAAAATAATGAGAGCAGTCTTTGCTGGGAAAAAAAGGTCTGACAACAAAGGAAATGGCAAACTCAGCAAGATGGTGCTGCAGCCTGTGCAAAACAGGGCCACCAGACAGTCTCTCCTTGGATTTGGTAAGGATTAATGGCCAGTTCTTTACATGGAAGGTGACAACCCGCAGACTTCCGCTGTGGTTATCTTCCAATCTGTGCTATTTAAAATGCACAAGGGATCCTGAGAGGTGGTTAGTCTTGTCATCAGCAAACTGCCAACCCACTGAGTTAATCAGGATTGTGAAAACAAGAACTGCCGGATCTGACAGCACTGACTGGTTGACAAAGTGGTGAAAGGAAGTCTGTTGATGAGCAATTTCAGAAGCACAGGACAGCAACGGGTTCTGAATTATTATCCTCAGAGATCCCAAAATGGCAGCAGTTTGTTCTTTTTAAGGCATCAGCCTGACGGCTATCAGCAGTCCCAACATGAAAACTGAGTATTGTTTGTAGGAAGAGAGGCTGGAAAGCATTTTTATGACACCATATGAACTCCAAATGAACCTGCCTATTGAATACTGCTGTGCAACCTTAGTCTGTTCATTCATTGTCTCAGAGATAGCTGAACTTAACGTACAGAAAAGAAGATAAAGGCACAAAGCTGCCCTGCACCATAAATACCACTGTGCAGACTGGGATTCTGCAGCCCAAAAGGTGAGGTCTGTAAAGGTGAGTGGCACAGAGTGGATGCATGAGGATCAGTCATTTAATTTGTCCAAATAAACCTGCCACCAGCTGGTTTCACAACATTGGGTTTATTCGCCCAGAGCAAATAAGGTGTTTCTTCAGGCAATACACAATTAAGGTGCTGAATTCCTTTGCTACAACATAACTGACCTGGGTGCACTGAAAAGGCAACTGCCATCCACAAAGAAAAATCCACTGAATGCTGTTAAACACAAGAATACTGCCTCTGGCTCTGGAAGTTCCTGAGCTACAAGTCACTGCCAATTAGATGAACATGCAATGAAGATCTCATCCCCACTCTGGGTGGCTGGTAGACATGGGACAAGAACCTTAAGTCAGACACTGCAAAGGTGTCCTTACATTTTCTCATTTTCTCACTGGTGACACAGAACAGCCACAATGAATTTGAGACCATTAGGTCACAAATACAGAGAGATTATTTTGGTACTGGTATTTGACAAAAGCATGCACTTAGCATGCAGATGAATGGCACAGTAGGGAAAAAAAAGTCTCAGGGTATCTGTCAGCAAGTACCAGCTCAGTGAAGCACTAGAGGGCACCTTTGCTTCACTGAAGTACCTGGCACGGACTGCTCCTACAGCCCATGGGAGCAGGGAGGCACCACAGCAGTATCACTGACAGGACAAATCACAGACTGAGCTTTTTCATCGACTCCTAGAGGTTCTCAAGCCTCTAGAAAGGCAGGAGAGATTGCCCCAAACATTTTTATCCACCGAAAAACTGGTCTGTCCTCAGTCAAAAAGAAAATCCACCTTATTTTCCTTCATCTGTGCAGTAAAACAACTGACTCATACAAGGAGCAGAAAAGAACAGATGAAGGATCCCAGAAGAAAAGTCTCCTGAAGTCATCGCATTGGCAGAATATGTTGTAAGTTATCTTGCTATGGAAAGAGACCTATCAAAGGGTTTAAGGAAGTACCATGTTCTTACTCAGTGATGTTCACATCAACATGTGTGTATGGTTTTTTTAAAATGCTACATTTCTGGTACAGGCGTTACTATGTTAAATCTTACTTTGCAAACAATCACAGGGATCCAATACAAAGAATAAAAGCAAGTTATATGGCATTCAGGGCTACGTTAATCTTTCAATTTAGATATTTACCTCATCATCTCCCAGTGAATTTATTTGTTCCAATTTTCTGGTCCAGTATCTGGCCTCTTCTTCAGGGATATCTATATCAAAAGAGTAAGTCACACCACCTTATTAACGAGGCAAGCTTGCATTTATCACCATTAGCATTAAAACAGGGAGAGCAGTCCAAGATCACACCACAAAAAACCCACATGTGATTTTGAAGAAATAAAACTGTCTTAGGTTAGCACTCAGATGAAAAAACAAACATTGTAAATAGTAACACAGTTCAAGGGCTTACATTGCTTTCTTGTTTAAAGCTGATTAACCAAATGCACACTGCACAAAGGTAGGAAAGAGAAAGAGAGACTGGTTCACATTTAATTCAAATATTAGTTTCATGAAGAGCCATTTCGCAATGATATTTTAATACACTTGCTATATGCCTGATAACACATAAAAATAGCCTCTTCTGGAGGCTTTTATAACCTCAATAGAACACGAGCTCCCTTTGAATAGCACATCTTACCTAAATACCTGGTGTAGCACAAATTAAATCACAAAAGCTAAATGGTCTCTTTTATTCCTTTGCAGGCAATAAGCAAAATCTTTTCAGGTAAAGAATAGTGTTACATTATAGGCAGTCATATTCACTTGAAAGCACATTCCTACTTTTACACCACACTGCAACTTCATTGTGAAATGAATCACAACAACACTTTTACCTTCTAGATTTACCAACTGGATGACTGGCAGCAAGTAGCAAGCATTATCACCTTTATTTTGGTAACTATTTCTATTCTCTATTTCACACTTTGAAGTAATATAGTGTCCTAATGGAACACAGACTTCTGCCACTCGAAATTTCACCTTTCAAAGCACACTCTGGGAGATGTAGATGAACTGCTGTGAAAAGCTTGACACAAAATTATTTAGGGATGGGGTGGTGTAAAATCATTGGAAAAGGAAAAAAAAGGTTATGGGTTTGTTTTTTGTTGTTTTTTTTTTTTAGCTACTCAATATCCCTGACTGTAACAACTTCTGAAATCTGGCTATTCATGGCCTGAAACCACCCCAGTGCAGAAACTTCAAAGCTCACAGAGGAAGGAAGTGGAGGCAGTGCTCCAGCTAGACAACGCCAGCCCTGCAAGCCAACAAGAAGATAGTGCTATACCAGTTCAGCTGGTTTTCCCATCCTCTGTAACCCTTTACACTCTCAGGTGGCCTCAAAAGGAGCCAAGTTTATGTCTAAGAAGTTTGTTCTCCTGACAAGAACTCCACCCAATGACCACCACCACAATGGTGTGTTCAGCTATACATTGGCAAGAACAGGATAAGCAGGCTTGGGATGGCCTCCTGGTGAAAAGGTGATTCAAAAAGTTACATCCACCCTCACTCTCGAGAGAAAAAAGAACAGGATTTATTGGCAGGTGAGCATTCCATTGGAACTATGATGCTTTCAGGAAGGATCAAGTATTGTTTTCTTCTTGTACTTTGATGGGATTATCCGTCCTACATGTGTTCTCTCCCAGCCACACAAATAAATCTTATGAAGGCAGTGACCCCAGAACATTGGAAATAATAGTGGCCATGAACCACTATCAACAGGAACATGCCAGATTTAGTGGAATTTCAAGCTTCAGAAGTAGGTATTTCCTTGGACTACAAATTCAATTCTACACCTTTGTAAGAGAAACATCACTGTATTTTTATGCAACTAGTCTCACCCAGACAAGGGGATAAAATAGTTGCCACTTGACACAGTTTTATGGAACCTTAACCCCTGGCTCAAAAAAAAACTGCATCAAGTAGGAAAAAAGACAATCTATTTCTCCTTGCTTGGAGGGAGACCAAAGTAATTTACCCCAACCATAATACACAAAGCCAGTTGCTCTTCCTGGTGTACAGTACATTACTTTGTTGTTAAATCCTAACAGAAAACAAGCTAAGACAAACATGAGAGAGTCTTCCAGAACTGCAAGAGTTGTAGGAAAACATACATGGTTTTGATCATCAGAGCTTTAGATCACAGCTGCACAGATTTATTAGACAAGCTCTGCAGAAATCAGGGTCGGCATTCAGGGAGAATCTGGATAGAATTGACCTAGAAAGAAGACATCAATGAACTGAACGGCTATCAGCACACAACCTGATGAGATTTAGGAAGACAAACTCTAACAAGGACCTGAAACAATCAAAAACTTACAGCAAAGCCTATGGAATTGTCTTTGAAAGCCAACACTTATCTAAGACATGAAGAAAAACTCATGAATTGAGGACTAGAGGTCAGAGCCTATCTTGTATCCCAGATGCCCATTTCATAAGTAGAGCGATCAGATTTTTACTGCAGGATTGCTGCTTCCATTGAAACAGCTTCTTATGCAAGTCAGAGATAAAAATCTGCTACTGTCCAGATACCAGCTGCTTCAAGGACATCGTCTTGGTCTTAGAGAAACTCTTGTCATCAATACTAATGCCAGTACAATTACTGCACAGCAAACGTTAAACATGAAGCAATGGGCCTATGACCTTGAGTCAAGTAACCTGCCCAGATGAAGAGATCCCAACGAGATAGAATTCTTGATGTTTTGAGGAAGCAGTTTGTTTTTTACTTTCACAATTCTGTTGTGTCTCACCTCAGCCAGCAGTTTCGTTGAAGCTCGTTCTTTGGAATGCAGAGAATAGAAATCTCTAGCGCAGAGATCACAGACCACTTGCAAGGCCACATCCATTGGCCACCTCCTACATCACTGCTCAACTTTGATTACAATGGAAATTACTATGCTACATTAACTGTTGCTTACAAGATACAAATGTGGAACTAATCCAAAAAGAGGACACCTGATGACAGCTCTGGACTCCACTGACATCACGCCTGGTGAACAGAAGGAGCAAGGCCACATGTCAGTGGAACTTATTCATGGCCACATGAATAAGAGCAGAGACGAGATGGGCAGCTATGTTCAATAGCTTTTGGGGCTTATTAATTTGATGCCAACACAGAAATATTGCAAGCTTTACTGCCCTTGCTCCTACTGCCATCCTCAGCTAGAAGCTGAACCCCTTGTTTTCTCTGGGCTCCTGGTGTTAGGGAGCAGTGAAGTCCGGTTGCTCCCCAAGGGAGGGGAGGATCCCCCGGCTGGCAGGGTAGGGGACTTGCCAGTTAGGGTCTCATTCTTACAGCACCTGAGCAAGGTGAGCAGAGCAGGCCCAGAGATCATGGCAAGGTTCAACCAGGAGCCCAGATTGGCAGCCAGGTCCATGATGACAAGGCAGGCCTGAGGTCGAGTCCAGACAAGGGTCTGAATCTATGGGGTCAGGCAGAGACAGCAGGCAGAGACACGGCACTGGCTGGGGTGAGGGATCAGCAACTCCCACAACACCACTCAGAACTGAAGGCTCAGAGCTGAGCTGAAGTGGGATTCCTGGGCACATGAGCAGAGGTGTTGGGCGGAGGTCCCAGGTGAGGCTGCTCAGAGCAAATAGGATGTATCAGTGTACCCAGGGCCCTGACATCTGGATACAGACAGACACAGAAATGAGGACACAGCAGTACAGGCACTTATCAGACTTATCAGAGGAAGGAAATAGAGGAGAATTTGGTGCATCTATACAGACCACTCCACTCAGTTATACCCCTTGAGGTCCTAAACATGACAGTATTCCTGCCTAGAGATCTCTAGCTTGGCAATAACCAGGCATTTCAGCCCTAAAGCTTTTCTTCTCCTCAGGTTTAGTGGTCCTTGCTCTAATCCTTGCACATCACCTTGTGCCTCCTGGGTTTTTCCCAGGTAGCAAGTCCTGGGCTGGGGCATACCCCAGCTCAGCATAAGAACAAGTGCTGAAGGTGATACCCTCTCTCTCCCCACTTTCCTACAAGCCTCTACCTGGCTTCGCCTCTTCCCAACCCCAATTTCTCCCCTTTTCCAATGTATGGGAAACTTCGCAGGTTCTCACTGAAATGAGTTTGTCAAGCTGAGTGTTTCTTTCTGTTCAGTTCCTAAGACAATAAAACAACAAAGCACATTTACTCCACCTGATGGTTGGATGTAGATCAGCATGCTCCCAGCCTGGGAGTAATGAGAACACTAAAAGCATCTTCACTCCAATTATGAACTAGAAACTGCCTGGCACAGAACCAAACTGCTATAGTTTGGGAGCCAAAAGCATTTTTGAGTGCTGCATCCTGTGAGGGATTTACACATAGTCATTGCATTTCTAAAAAAGGGGGGCAGAGTAAAATTGCTTCAAAACAGAACAATTTTACACTTGAAAAGCAGCATCCTGAAAAGTCTGTGCCAGCACACACTCACTGCATCAAAACAATAATAGCAAGACTGTCTTCTCTTTACCAGTAAATTTTCTAAACCAACCACAGAAGGCTTTCTCCCTTCCTTGATATGTCTGTCTTGTTCCTGAGAAGAAACAGATATGATCAGTGGAGAAACCTGCTCCAGCCTGTCTTTGCTCACAATCCCATGAAGAAGGCAGTTTACTGCCATTTTTGATAGACTACCAAATATAAAAATGCTTTGCACCCTATGAGTTAATATCAACTCTCACTAACGCTTCACATTTCCCACGCTCACTCTTCGCTGCACTTTTACAGAAGAGGATTTTCAGTCATCCTGTTTCTGTGAGACTGAACATTCAAACACCTGGGGCTGGCAGAGATCATTAGAGGACAATCTGGCCCCCAGCAGCACAGTCCATCACACAAAAGGGTCCACAGGTCTGCTCTCTCCTGTACACCCTGTGCTGATGTCACACTAATGACACTACTCACCACAAGGCAAGAGCTGCATCTGGAATGTGCAATGGGACACATGGGCCATATGTCAAGGCCACCACAGTAGTTCTTTTTCCTGTTAGAAATCTGGGCATTAACGAAGTTTAGCTCCTGTATGACCTCAAAAAAGCTTATCTAAAATCACCAGAAGCAGCGACTAAACTCTCATCAGCCTTTGTCAGGAGATGATTGCTTCCCAACCCTAAGCCTGGTAAATACTTAAAAACAACTTCATATGAAACACCCCCCCCCAAAAAAAAAACAACCAAAAAAAAACCCCTCTAAGTTGCCTTCATCATATACTACCATTACCAGCATCAGCATGTTCTGCATTTATTTCAGCTTTAGCTGTTGCCAGTCTCCAGAGAACCAGGAGAAGAGATACCAAGGAGGTAGACTCTTGAATATATCATGTGGATGCAGAACAATAAACCAGTTTCTAAACCTCACTGCACACACAATCATGTTTTACATCACAGATTTCAGCTTTTCTGTTTTTCAAGTTCACTTATTCTCTTTTATAAACCCTAAAAAACTTCTCAAGCTCCACTTAAATAAAACAAAACATTTCAAATACACAGAATAACCAGGAGTACTAGATCTGTATACATCTAAATGAAAGAGAGCAGCCAGAAGTGATAGAAAAAGCACAGAAGCACAGCCAAAGAGAACACACAGTTTTTTAAAGCTGCTATCCCAGACAGCAGTGTTTTACTCGACTTGAAAAGCAGCACAAGCTGTACATGTGCACACATATCCCTCTGCTTCTCATGTATCTACAGTAGCCAAGAGATCCTCACCTGGGAAACAAAACATGATACACAATGTTCCTAAGTGTCACTTCAAACCTGCTGTTATTAAAATATTGCCTCTAGTGCACTGCTGATGACTTAAGAACTTCCACAGGCAGATCAGTGATCCACTTAGCTCCCTGTGTAGGTTTAAAGGGGCAGTTCCCAGCTCATTTTGAAGAGTCTTAACATGTAGGGCACTGGGAGTCCACATTGCTGCCATCCAGCTAAAGGGAAGCCGACCAGCAAATCCACTGGGGGAGATGTAGAGGCACTGCTGTGAGCTGAGCTGCCTCCATGCATCTCTCTGAGGCTCACAGTACTTGGGGCAAGGAGACAGAGCCTAACCCATGTTGCAGGGTCCTTCTCTATCGTAGAGGTGACGGCACAAGACACTCAGTCATGGTGTGAAGGGAAGCACTGCTGGAGAAGGTGACGCTCCCTTCCAGAGAAATATCACCCCCCTTAGTGCCTACTGCTTTTCAACCTGCCTCTGACCTTGCCGTGGCAGGACACACTGAAAATTGAGATAGAAGCAAAAACTGTAGCACTCTTCAAGGGAAGAGCAGCAGAAGCCTTGAAAGACCTAACTCATGCACCCATTTTTTCCTGGACATTATGAAACACTGGAAAGGCAGACAACTTTTCACACCCTACAATAAAACTCCTTCAACACAGCAGTGTGGACTTCCTGTTGCTTCAGTATTTGGTCTAGTAAGCAAAGAAATAAGTAACAGATGTACTTTAAATGATCAATTGTGTTAAAAACAGAAGAATCACAAAAATCTTGTTATTTATTGTCTGCTCTGCATGAAATCCTACTTCTCCAAATGTAAAAATTTAAACTAATAGTAAAAAAAACCCCGAAAAAAAAACAAATAAAAACTCTTGTGAGTATAGTAGTAGGGAGAAAATAAATTATTACCTGAAATAGTTTTATTTTTTAAATGCAGATGCTCTAATACATAATGATTTACAGGGAGTCTGTTTTCTTATGCTTGAAAAAAAGAATCTCAAAATGTAATGCTGTTCAAAATATGAATTGCAGAAGAAAGCAAATTCACTTTTTGACCCTCTTTGAACACAAAGGGAGACTCCAGAACTTCATTTTCTTTTAAAGCAGTGACAGATTACAAGCAACTGTGTCACAATGAACTTAGATGAGAAGGTAGTGGCTACAAGCCTTGCCTTCAGCTGTGTGTGCTGTGTTCTGCCCCTCCCAGAAGCCTCAACACTTGCCCCAAAGAACCAAGATTTCCATGTGAGGTGAAACGAAGTGTGTTGTTCCTCCTCTTACATAACAAGCAATTTCAGTAATAAACTTCCCACTGACAGGGTGAAAGCTGTCAAATACCTTTTCCCCCTTTACACACTGGACTGTAGTTAAAGAGTAGTGCCATTAGAACACTGAAGTACAACCATCCAGGGGACTGTGCACTCAGAACAGTACACTCAGAGCACTAGATACGATTTGCACCGACTGTTGTGCTGCAGGGCCAAGGCCTGCATCCTCCCCTGCACCAGCAAGGGGGCTATGAGACTCAACGATGTCCTCACTCCTTCCCACAACAGATGGCCACCCCTGACAGGTGCTGGCCAAACGCCAGCGGGTGCACAAATGTTCCACCCCTGCTTAGAGCATGATATAAATTCCCCACACTGGCAGGGGGCTTGGCAGCTAAAAAGAAGCAACAGGCAGAGAGGGAGAAAGGAGCCTTGCAATGACAGACAACTCTGAAACACTTCAATACCCAGTGCATGAAAAAAACAATAGCACAAGCCCTAAAAACATCATCTCTGCTCTTATTAGCTAAGAGCTGGAAAGAAAAGCTTCGTAAGCCTAGGATGCATTTTGGCTAAGGCCTTACTTTTGGGGTTTATTTGGTTATTTTGTTTGCTTGTTTTTAAGTAAAATAAAATTTTAAAATTATACACGCTTGAGATCTGTTTGCTCCAATTAGCTACTTTTCCATATTCTGTATTTTACAACCACAAGTAATTGCCAGAAAGGCACTTTTTACAGCATCAAGTTATTTGTATACTCTGCTAATGATAATGTTCAGGAGCATTAAGCATTAATGTTTCACTAACTGAACTGCACACTCCTAAGACAGCTTATGTGCACCTACCACAGAACAGCCCTAGCAATGCCAAATTTATCTAGGTACAAAAAAACAAATGCTTCCTGCTCAGGAACAAAATCTGTGACTACACAATCCTGAAATACTATTAAGATGACAACTCTACTACTCGTCTAAACATTCCAGCACCCAGGGACTTTCAGATACTCCACATTTATTTGGATCTTGTAAAAAGAAGCCAAACAGAAAATGAATACCAGAAATTTATCTCCACTGAACTATACTGACTGAACTGAGAATAAGCACAACTTGATTATAAAACTCAATCTGCTACCACTTTCTCTGCACTCTGGGTAAGTTATGGAAAAGCACTCACCAAAAGGTAATTCAAATCTTGTGTCCAGCAAAATTTTATGAGGAGTTGGGTTTTTGGTTCCACAGATTTCATCATGTTTCATTACAACTTCTGCCTCCAACGTAGACCATTCCCCAGGACCTTCCTGTGGATCACGAGCCACATGTCAATGAACTTTCAAGTCTGAAGAACTTTATGCAGCAACTCTTATACACTTGTTAAAAGATTCCAGGAAGAGCTTTACAGCATTATCAAGGCCTAGTACTTTGTTTAACATCAAATTACATCCAGTCAGCATGTGCTGGCTTTTTCTTCCAAACTGGATTTCTTCGAAGTCTCAGAGGCCTTTAGCAGGACAAGTAGCAAACATCTCCTAGCTTAACTGCTGCCTTCTTAGTGGAATTGCAAAGGTAAGACCTCAAAGACAGGACCAAGGAATGCTTGCACAGCCACAGACCTTAAGCCACACTGCTGAGCATCCCCACTCTTTTCCCTGTATGGAAAATATACTCTCTCTCTACCTGCTCAAATTCAATAATCTTCTAATTAAATACACTGATATTTGAGTTAAAAAACCAAATATGTCTTGCTTAGCTGCAACGACTGCCAAATTCAGTAGTTAGGGCAGTTACAGACATTGGCACATCCCACTTCCTACTTTTTTCCATATATACCAGTATCAGTAGACACCCTCTAACACTGCAATCAGAAGCCCTAAGAAGACAATGCAGACATGCTCTGGGCCTACTCTGTCAGCTGGACTAAGAGAGTCTTTAGCAATAAGTCACAGAAATTTGAGCATCAGACGAAGCAGTCAGTCCTTAAGATTTCAGACACTTGTCACTTACATGTTCCTTAGCAAATTAAGCCCTGGTTTTTGAGTCCACATGACTAAAATGAGACCAAAAACCCCTGTGTAATTTTGGTCTCACTTCAAAACCAAAACCAATAAAATGAGAGAGCCCTCTCTGGTCACCCAGCCTTCCTGACTTTTCAAGTGGATGTTTTGCTGAGGAGCACACCCAGGCCAGATTTGTAACACATTATCTATTAACACTGGAGAAAATAAAGGTTCTGTGTGAGCTTAACCTCATCAGATTGGTGAATGGCCTTCAGAGCAATCCACACGGTCCCAACCAGGGTATCCCAGATCAGTCCTTTGTTCCATACTTCAACAATTAGTCCCAGGTCCAGTCGGTTGATCTCACTGCAAGAAAAGAAAAGGCATCACAGGCGAGAAAAAAGAGAATACCATCCAATTCTGTTTTAGGTTCCAATTACCACCATGATTGTACCAGTGAACTCTTTCCACACAGCAGTGTCAAGCTACAGAAAGCTTCTGGAAGTCTATGGTCGAGGCAGCTCATACTCACAAAGGTCACTAGTTTCTAATAACTACACAAAGATTGCAAACTAAAACCCAGGACTGTGTCATGCATCACCTGCCAGCTGGGAACTCATCTCTGCAGCTATGTACACAGGAGGAGGAAGTGTATCTTGGGCCAAAACCGAGGGGTGAATTGTTCTTTGTCATCAGGCACAACATTTCTAACAAAGTGGGTGTCTCCCTTGGCAGCACAGCAACACAAGTGTGCTCTGGCAGGTGCAAACATGCCAATACTTACCTGTGAGTGGAGCTACCCCATGTCCAAAGTAACAGTCCCAAAATCACAGCTGCACCAGCAGCACTACCTATTGCTCAGGGCTGTGTTGCACCACTTCTGCTCCAGCACTAGCTACTTCCACATGGCCACCGAGTGCCAAGTTCTTGGAAATACTTATCTGAAGGTTTTCATGACATCTTCCCTTTCAGTAAGGAAAGAATGCATCTCAAATTTGCTTCCTTCCAGTGTTTCATAGCATTTATACCTCTCTCTTCCAAGCTAGTTTATAACCTGCCTACTTCAGAACAGCCTGACACATACACAGCTGGTAAAAACAATGAAGTACAGAACAATCCTGAGCTGTCTGTTGATACACAACTTCCTCACACTTATCAGGAAGAAAGGCTATCACTCCTAATTCTTTGAGCTCAGGGCTTCCCTTCAGTGCAAATGTTAATCCCCAAAAGTAGATATTTTGGACAGTCAATCCAAAGCTGCTGCCTTTTGTCCTTTGGTCCAAACATATCCATTTTACATCCTTCAAGGAAATTTAAAAGTATGTTAGTCCCTAATTTCTATAGGCTGCCATCATGGCCAAAAAAAGAAAGAACCGCTGCAAATCCCAGCATCTATTTCAGCTTTGTCCCCTTCTTACAACTAGAAAAGGGAACGCAGTATCTACAAGGCTCAAGACAAACCCTACAGCTACAGCAAAGCACATTAATATCTATTTTAAATCCAAGTGCTTCTGTTCACGTTTGAGACACAGGAATTGAGGTCAGCAGTGTCCAGTACTTGGGTGGCTCAGTCTACACTAGTTCAAAATCAAGCTATTACATAGGCCTATTATGACTTTATTGCTAGCATCTTGTAATTCCAGCATCCTCTGTTTAGACAGGCTTTCACAAATACAACCAAACCAACAACTGTACCAGTACTGCTCTGCCCCTCCCACTGCTTGCCTCTTGGAAGATGATATTTATCTGACTCCAGGCTGCTGATGACTGGCTGTCTGCAGGCTGGACCAGCGTGAGGCCAAAAAGGGAAGGGAAGGAAGAAATACTCTGTTTTCAATCACAGTGTAAAACCCATGTTCTTTGCTTCAACATACATTGACAGAGCAAGACACTGATCCTGAGACACCCAATGGGCTTCTGAACAGAACTCCACAGGATAGGTCACCAGATAAGAATAATAAAGATATTTTCTGTACAGTGGCTTTGACTGCCTTTGTGTCTCCCTTTCTCCACCTTCTGGTTAGATACAGAACAGCTTCAGAGAACAAAAGAGCTGAGACTGGTATTTGGTGTCCCTCCCTTTCCACACATAGATAGAATTTAAATAAAATACCTTTCTTTAACACCAAATTAATCATCATGTTCTAAACATCAGTTTGCAGTTTCATTCAAGAGGTCCTTGCTGCAAATATGCAGTTCTTTTTAAAAAGCTGCTTTAAAATTAGAAGATGTCCCCAAAGAATAAATTAAAATGTTTTCCTGGTTTGGTAAATATCCAAATTTCAAACAAGCCCAGAGCCCCCAGTTCCGAAGTGCTACATCTCACAAGAAGTTTGGAAGCAAAAACAACAAACACAGACAAAAGGCATTTTCTTGCTTGTAGTCTGTTCTTCTAGTATGCCTCACAAAGAAGGTAAACACAAATACAGACAGTAAAAGCATCCTTCCCTCAGGGAAAAACAACTGTATTAAAAATCCTTTTCCAACTCCAGAAAGAAAAAGAGCAAACTAGAGAACAGTAGTATTGGAATACCAGTGTTATTCCTCCTGGGACAACTTAATGTACACAGGATCATGCAAAACACGTTTGCTGCCACATGTAACATTTCTGTCATAAAGAAACAGCAGAACTACTGTGCAGTTGCCTGGCTAAAGCAGGGGTGATAATGGCGAGGTAGTTCAGCTAATATTCTGCTTTCATATTCCCTAGCAACTAATTATGGAGCATTACAATGACCTTACAGCAGGATAGCTCAGCTCCCAGCTGATACTGGAGTGCAGTTCCAGGAGCTCCTTCAGGGAAGGGAGGAGGACCAACCCTGAGAGCCTTCATCCAACATGCTCAAGTGCCTTTCTTAAACCACCTCTGAGTAGTCTCCTCTGCAGCTGGCCATGTTCAGAGCCAGTTCCTGTCCACAGGATGAGCACAAATCACAGGCAGAATGAGTTAGTAGTTTGGGTATAGGTGTGTGATTTGACAGACAGTTACTGTCCCCTGTCCCAACTTTACCCAGTCCTGCATGGTTTACATCAGTGACAGCCATAGCCTCTGTCCAACCAGGAACTGCAGAGCTGAGCAGATGTATTTCACCAGATGCCAAAGGACAGACTCTCTGCAGGAGCACACCCCTCTCATACTGCTCCAAAAGCAGACTGGCACCAAAAAAGGGATGTAGGAGCACAGCTATGACGCCAACACTGTGCTAACCCAGGTGAACTCCTTAACCAGAGGCAACAACTTCCCGCTTTCAGCTGAGGAGAACCAACTGCTTCTGGATTGGGAAACATGCTCACAAAATCCCATGTGGGTGTCTTACTACAGATACTATGTAAACACCGCAAACACGCTCAAAACCAGCAGCACTAGCTTTGACTCCACAAGATGAATACAACATCATTCCTCCCCATTTAGTTTGCTTTGTCTTACAAAGCTATAGAAACGGAAGCAGATGCAGTATAATCAATAAGTCATTCATCCACTAGAAAAAAAGAAAACCACCATTGTGAAAGATACTGGGAAATCTTTGGCTACATGTCAGGATCAGAGCCAACCAGAAGTGCCGAGTGCACCAGAAGCCCGGGAAAAGCTGGAATGAACTGGTTCTGCTGCTCACGGCAGGGACTGGCAGCCCCTTAAGCTGAACCAGAGGAGCTGGAAAACACATTCATGGGCACTGGGCCAATGGCAGAACACATCAACACACAAGCAGCTCCCACACTAAGGTAACCAGGATCACCATGTGGAGGTCCTGAGTGCATTAACAACAGCCCTTAATTGCCCTGACCAGCCCCTCCAGCAGCCTCCACCCACACCCTGGTCCAGGGTCCAGGAGCTCCATTTAAGCTCAGCTATGGGCCTTCAGCCCTTCTCTAAACTATGCTGTAGGTGTGTGTGTCTCTTGCTCATAGCCACAGCTGTGCAGGTACCTGGCCAAGGACATCCATCCAGACCAACCCACAGACCGACTTCCCAGCTCAAACTCAAACTTACCTCCTCCCTATAGACCTGACTGGCAATTGCCAGTCTGTGGCACCGGCAGAGACAATCTCCAGGCTTGTGCATTTTACCCACCCAAATACTCCAACCCATGCACACAAGAGCAGCTCTGTGTGAGTGTAGGGGCTGTGGAAGGACTCGACCACAAGCACCTCAAGCTGTGCACCCCCATACTTACAACATAAAGTCCTGTTCCCAGCAGGGTTGGTCACCACGCACGGCCACCGTCGTGCTCTTCACATTTTGCACCTTCAGTGTCACATACGTATTGAATTTATCTGGGGAATGAGACACAACAAGTTATCTCCATCAGCAGATCCCTTCATCCCATACGCGCAACACATCAAGGTTTTCAGCTCACACAGTGCATCCAGAGAGGCCCCAAGTGAAAAGCCCATCTGGAAAGACGTCACAGGGTTTAAGTGGCCAAATGGTCATGATGTTTTTTACCTGCCATCAGATTTTGAATCACAGCTTTTTTAGAAATTCAAGCACAAACAAACAAGATAAGGCAACTAATCACCTGCAGTAAGACAGGGACAAAGAAAGCATGTAGAGAACACAGACACTTAGTAAGATGCTGCTACTGAAATGCAGACGAGGAAGAAGAGACAGTCTGAAGGAACAGGGACCATCATGCAGACCAAGGAGAGCAAAAAACAAACTTGCAAGACATGCAAGCAAGCAGTTGAGTTGAACATATCATTTCTTCCCTTTTGACCCAAGTGCTCTCCTAGTTCCAACCTGGTTTTCCACCCAGGAGTCCACAAAGAAAAATCCTGAAAGAACTTTTTCCTCGTTCTTGCTCTTTCCGTGCTAATAAAACCAAAAGCAGCCAAGCATAGACACATTCAAAGTTTGAATATCAGCATCTGAGAATGATAAAACTTGCTTTTAAGGGAAGTTATTACCTGAGACCTATCTCTCAGTTTCAAAGAGCCTGGAACAAGACACGTTAAGTAGCCAGGAAGCAGTGTACGTATTTTAACACTTCAGTGTTCTGCTACATCTATTCCCAGTGCAAGTTAGATCACAGTCCATTTCAATACTGTCAAACTGCACATGGAAAACAAAGAGGTGACTGGGAAGAGCCAACATAGCTTTACAAGCAGGAAGTTCATGCCTGACAAATCTGATGACCTATTATGTTTCAGCATCTAGCTTCCAATATCCTAACAGAACGGGAAGGGAAATACATGATCCAGAAGGGATCTACATTTCAGGAAGAAGTAGGAATCACTGAAAGTCAGAGTCTTCATACCTGTCTACATCACTTGCATCCTCCTGGGACACCGGCCTTGTCAGTAAAACCACATGCTTTGCTGAGTTAAACCTAGGCTACAGGACAAATATTTTGCATCTGTGAGAAGGCTTCTTAAATAGAGAAAGGATAAAGTACACACTGTCTTCCTTCCAGTCTGGGCAATCAGCTTTCCTTCCCTGGAAATTCAAGGCTGGTGCACACACAGATCTTGACCTGATGTGAAGTATGGACAATGACTCCTGGAAAATTTTCTGCTCTAACCTGAGGACAGCTGTATCCAAAGAATAAAGCTGAACAAATAAGTCATGAATACAGCTGTGCAATTGCTTGGTATCTAAGCACCTGCACAGGTGTTATTCCAGAAGCAAACTTCTTTTCTAAACTGTACATCAGATTTCATTCAATAAACCTATTTGCCTGCTAAGGGATTGCTTGCCACCTACCGAACCACAGTGAAAAAAAGCTGCCTAAACTGTAAATTCTGGGTGTCACCAGCTGTTTGTTTTTACTTTATTACACAGACACAAAAAGTAGTGGATGGGGTTTTAATTTCAAGCACAGCCATTATGGACTGTCACATAAGGGAATGAGTCACTTCTGCAATTCCATCCAGCAATCCTGATCAGGATCAAGAAGGCACTGAATCCACACAGGTACACACCAGTCCTGTTCAGTGGACATTTTCAGATCCTGTTTTGAACAGGGACAGAGGAAGGATGAGCAAAAGGGCAGGGTGGGTAGGAAAGGGTGACAATAAAGGAACACATTTCCTTATTCATCACCTGTTCACGTCAGTGAGCAGACAGGTTTTCAGCACTATGACACCACACCACAGCCTCAAGCTTTCTACTAACTCAAGCTGCCCGGATGCTCAAGGCAGATCATGTCACTCCTAAGGAGAACGTGGAGGAGCCGAGAGGGGGTGGATGGAACATGAGGGAGCAGAACAAACAGCAGTGAGAGAGGTGTCCCTATTGCTGCAAATTAGCAGTAGAGCATGGCTTACCTGGTGGTCCATGGAGTTTAGCTTTTTTTACTGGAAAGAGAGAAGAAAAAAGAAAAAAGAGGCTGTTAGTGATTTTGTCCTGCTGCAGTTGAGTTAGAGTGTCACAGTGCATCGCATTAATTGGACAACATCCCCAGTAGAGACCTGGTGGCTGGAAATCCAGTTTAACAGATCTGGAGACAAAAACTTCTTTGTACCCCCATGGCACCTCTCTAAAGTGATGCATTTAAAAAAAAATAATCATAGGCTTAATGTGTGAAAAGTAATGTGATATGGCTAATGGAAAGCAATTTCAAAATCGGTCCTTTGCAATCCCTCCCACAAGTTACTGTTGCTTAGCAAGGTGTCATTTCATACCACCTCACTTACAAAGTTACTTAAAAACACTCTAGAAGAAATAAACATTTCTTTATAAACAAAGAAACTTCCCTAACAGTGCTCAGCAGACCTTCAATCACAAACTGAAAATAATCAAGCCTGAATAGCAGCTCTATAAGTAGCTCTATATTATGACATCTGTAAATTAAATTAACTAAGCCAAACAAACAGTGGTCTAAAGTCAAATGTCACTTTTACAAGCTCTCCTCTGTTAATTTAATTCCAGGACAGTACTTATATATAAAAATAGAATTGTTAAAACAAAACAGCATTGGTTCTTATCTCGCCAGATGAAGAAGGTCCATGTCTACCCAGGGGAGATTTTGTTTACATTTCCCTTTTGCAAGCTCATATCCTCACTAGAATTGCTAAGTGTAACCACTAAGAGAAGACATCTCCAGGCTCCAGCTAGTTTTCCCAGTGGAAAACTAATACTAAGAAGAAAACATATTTAGCAAGCTAGGAATCAAGATATACAGAGAGCAAAAACTTTTAAAAGCTGGTGTAGTGAAGTTTCCTTCAGAAAACAGAGCTGCCGATACTTAGTAGTGGTTCACAGTGTCCAGCTTTCAAGATGAAAATTCTAGAAAGGAGCATTAAAAAAATCAAAAAAATAATAAAATGCCCTTACACAAGTTACATGCAGAGCTGCAATGGAGTGTGATCCTGGAGAATCCACTTGCTATCTGAGAAATTCTCCTTTGTGAGCACTGACAGTCCAGGTAGATGTTTGCATGAAGGAAAATGCCGTACCAGGTATAGTATGAGCCAGAAGCCTCTCAAACAGACGCTAAAAGAGCTGTGCCTTTCACCTAGGCTGACAAGGCCCACAAGCCATTCAGTCCAAAATAAACTGTCATTTTCTCCCACGTTCAGGGCCTGAAGCATTCCTGATGCTAAACCTAGTGGTGCAAGCAAAACATACGATGGCGTGGGCCAGTGTTCCTGCTCACTGAAGATACAGATTCTGTTTGATCTCCAAATCAATCAGTCTGTTTAACCATGGAGAAACACACAGGCCAATCTACCCACTTTCTAGGTGCCTTTGCACGCCACACAAAAACAAGCATTCCATGAACTACGGCTCTGGAGTGGGCAGGCACCAGCTTATCTCTGAACCTCCCCTCACCCCTCCTTTGCAAGAGACAGGAGACAAAGAAACAAGTGCATGAGCTTGAGAAAAGGAAAAAAGGAGAAAGAGGGAAGGGGACCAGCAGTAAGCTTCAGCTGGCCTCTCCCTCTGTTTGTAACAAGCTCTACTACTGTTAGCAAGGAAGCAGAGGTAACTCCAGTGTGGAAATTTGCTATTATATGTCGAAAATGCAGATAGAGTAGGCCACTGGCTCCTAAAGACAGAGACTAGACACTGCCACTGCAGTGAGGAATATGCAAACTAAGAGGCAGATGCCATCTGTATGTTGTGGTCTCAGCCTCTAAATATTCAGAGGTTCATTTTTCATTTGATGAAAAGCAGCAAACCCTGCACTACCTCAGAGTGCTGAGAAGGGTGCCTGTGTGGGGCTTCAGCAAGAGCTGCCCCAGGGCCTGCAGCAAGAGGAATATCCCCAGGCAGCAGCCAAGCTAAACAAAGATCACAAGCCTGCTACAGATCCACATAACAAAAATGAGAGTCTTTAGCAACTCCTAGGAATGAACACCATGCCTCGAGACAAAGTGCAAACCTTCAGCTGAAGAAACAGGGCTTATAACTAAGAGCTGGATCACAAACCTGGGAGTCTCATCTCACCAGTAACTCTTTTGCTCTGCCTGCAAGTCTACACAGAATGTCCAAAAAGTTCCCATGAAAAGTGACTTGGACGTGTTTTATTTTGTTAGCCCCACAGGAAAGCACTTCCTAGGGGTGTGTAAAAAGCATTGCAAAGGTGCAGCTCCCACAATATCTCAGGATTGGGACTGACTGTGATACTGCAGGGTTTCCCATTTAACAGTTTGAAGGTCTGGGAGTTCAGAGCTGAAAAGAGCTGCTCGGCTCTGCCAAGGCCCAGCCTGTTTGTCAGCCCAGCGAATCCACAGGTTGGTTTTCTACCCACACCCGCTCCTTCTGTCTGGTTAGAGCTCCTCTGTGCCAAGTGTCCAAGGAAGGACTCAAAGAAGTAAAGAAGCTGCAAAGAAGCCTGATGCATTAGTTGCTCACAGTGTTGTGACAAAGGCTGAAAACCCATTGCTACTTCAGATGCAGAGTGACAGCACCTCGAAATTAAGCCATGTGTAACACAATATTTTTATAATATAAAATCTGTAGCACAAAATGAAACCAAGCTTCTCTAGAGCACTCAACAACACTAAGTTTCACAGATATAGTTGCTCCTGAGTTGCCATACAGTAAAAACCTAAAGTAAGTTAAAAGTCTAGATCAGATACTTCCCGACTCACTCCCATTTATCCCACAGCACTTCTGGTCTCTGAGAAAGCTGTGTTTTTAAACCATCAGGAAATGTTAAATTCTGTTCAGTTTCAAATGGCTTCTCTCAGCAAACCGGGCAGCACAGAAAGTCCATCCATTCCGAGGCAAACATTGAACTCTGCTGAACTGTGATCCTCCCATGCCACTGCACAGGATGAGCAGGACACCAGGGAGGGAATGAAAATGATATAAAATTAGAAATGAAAGTGAGACCTAGTGCTTTACACTGCTACATGCAAGCAGTGCATGACACAGATGGACAAAGATGCACCTGCTCTCACTGCATGTGATGATTCATTTAATCACCAAGAAAGACTTGGGTATATCAGAGACACAGCTATTGCAAGGAGAAAGCCAACAAAAATTGATACAGAGAATCCCCCTCTCCTCCCCCCCACCCAGCATTTCTCACCATTTTGGCATTACTCTTACAAAGAGACAAGAAAAAATTAAGTTGAAGTCTTGTATGCAACTTTAAAAGAAAAAAAAAAAAGCCACGGCAAGATTCCAGGTGCTTGACTACCATCAATTACAAAGGGCTAGAGAGTCAGACAGACTCCTAAAGACCAGGAAAGAAAAATAGAAGCCAAGGATAGAAAAAAAAAAAAAAGGTCCAGAATCAATCACTGTGGAAGGATGAAAAAACAACAGAGCGTACATTAGTATTCTTAAACTCAAGTTCTATGAAAAAAGTCTTGCTATCCACATATTTTTCAAACAATAACTATTTTTTTCCTGACTAAGTGCTCCATACACCAGTGAGAGAATTAAAACTGAGCATGCCAAGTTCAAAAGACACACCGCTCAACCCTCCTAAGCAGGCACACACTCATATTCAGTTAAAAGGAACCAGAGTGTTCTGAACACCTGCACATTTCAGATCACCTGTAACACCTGCTTGCAAATGAGAGGGATGCAGACACAGGGAGTGCCTGAGCAGATGGCCAAAAGATTACATTCTAGCTAAATCCAGCACATGACTTAGCTGGTCACTCAACACGCTACAACAAAACCTACATCCTTTCACAGGGGCCAGTGAAGTGCCATGGAGGGGCTGTGGGAGAAATCAGAATGAAAGGACACTGTTTTAATTAGCGCTCTTAAAAATAAATGCAATGTTGAAAGCAGAGCACTCAAGTGCATTTTCATGATCAGCAATTTGATAAATAGTTTCCTTTTCCCTGGGAAATACAAATGGTCATTGTGTTTTCGAGAGCACTCTAACTTTTACAGTAACTGTCTCCAGCTGAACATCAGAATTAATACGTATTTCCATTTCACTCTGCTTTTCTCACCTTTTCCAGGTGCTCAGACTTCAGTGTACAGTGACACGCAGCAGTAGGTGCAAAGGTTGCTTAAACAACAGAAGTAAGAGACCACAGAAAGCTGCTCATACTACCCTAAGTAAGAATAAGTCAACACACCAAATACATGGCCTGTGCACCCTGCAGCAGGCACGGAGAAGGGAGGAAACCCTTCTGGGAGGGACGCAATGGTCAGGCAGTGCTCCAGCCCTTCAGGTGTGTTACATTTTCTATAATCAAGACTTTGGAAACAATTTTGCTGTCTGAACCCTGCACCAACAGCTATAGCACATGAACCTATAGCAGAGCCAGCAACACCTCCTACCCACTTCTTGAAAGTTATTTATAAAATCTACGACATAGCTGGTAAGTGGCACAAGACTGGCACATCTAATGAGGACTGCCCTGTCCCTGGGGATCCCACCCTGACACACAGGGATCTTTCCCAGAATGGGCCCGGTTGGAAGGGATCACAGTGGGTCATCTGGTCCAACCTCCCCTACACAAGCAGGGTCATCCTAGAGCACAGACAGTTCTTGCATATCTTCAGTGAGCGAGACTCCACAGCCTCTTTCCTCCTTTGGAAATCAAAATGTGCACAGACTGCACACCCTCATCTCCCACCTGAGGGTGAGGAATCCTTGTCTTTCTCAATACCTGAACCCAAAGGTGCTCCAGGCTGGAGGAAGAAGAGGCCATGCAATGATCTGACCTCTGATTTTAAGTCAGTCACTGTTTTGTTTCACGTGATCCCTATTAAAGCCCAGTAGCATCAGTTATGCCATTAAACGCAACTGCATGTGTCAGAGTAGAACAGCAGTACTGACTGTGCCACGAACCTCTACTCCTCGCTTCATAACTCCAAGAAAGAGCTGGATAAAACAGCAGTACAATGGTTTCCTGAGTCTGTTATGAAGATTCGA